GTGATAAAGTAAGGTATTATAGCCACAATATCAATGATGTTCATTATATTGACAAAGAAGCCTGCTTTGCTGGGACACGCAAAGAACCGCACCAGGAACTCGAAGGAGAACCATATGATGCAAAGGGTCTCCAGGATGAAGAAAGGGTCAGTAAAGTAGGAGGAGGTGTAACTATTTGTTGAGTTGGAGCCCATGGGAATATGCGTGTCCAGGTCCTCACTGCGAAAAACTGGAAGTGTCTCCAGGCAAAAACTGACTATAGATATGAGGATGACCATGACGGAAATGATGGCAATAATCCGGGCAGGCCCTGAACTTTCAGGATACTCAAAGAGCAGCCACACCTGCCTCTGAAACTCATTTTCTGGCAGGAGTTTCTCCTCTTCCTTAATAAATCCTTCATCCTCCCTGAACATCTCGATGGCTTCTTCCCCGAGCTCATAAAAACGTATCTCCTCAGAAAAAATATCCAATGTCACATTGACAGGCCTCCGCAGCCTGCCACCTGACTGGTAGTAATACAGAATGGCATCAAAACTTGGGCGGTTCCTGTCAAAAAAGTACTCATTCCTCAGAGGGTCAAAATAGCGCATTCTCTTTTTGGGGTCCCCAAGCAATGTCTCTGGGAACTGAGACAGAGTTTTGAGCTGCGTCTCAAAGCGCAGGCCAGAGATGTTAATGACCACCCTTTCGCAGCACTCATGGTCTGGTTCCGGGTCATACGTGTCCTGTGGCTGACCCGGGAGAGCTGCTGCTTCATCAACTGGGTCGCCTGTGGCAACAGTCATGCTGTGAATGAATGCAACCTGCAGTTTGTGGTCAGGATGCAACGATGTTGCCTTTAAAAGTTTGTGGGAAAGAAGCAGGGAAATGTGGGGCTTCCTTTCACTGGTTAACACCTCCCTCTCTCATCAGAACTCAGGAAACACTGAAAGAAATATAAATCAGAAAAAAAGATTACTTAGGCCAACAAGCATTCTTTTCAGCATGCACACTACAACAATGCAATGTGCTTACTAAATATGAATGTATTCCACTCTACTGTGAGTTTATTTGGATTCCTCACAATTCATAAAGAACTCATTTTGTTTTTGAACTAATATAGCAAGTTACTCAAACACCATCAAATCTGCAAAGAAAGTGAAGAGACATCAAAGCACTGCACAAGGATCCAAAGCATGACCGCTAAGGAAATACACATAAAGCATGGCTACAGAAAACCAGGGCATCTAAAAACATCTATCAATCACATGGAGAAGTCAGCCTGACCACTTTACACATTGTATTTGCTTTTATCTTCCAAGTAGATCAATACTTGCCATGGCAAGACTGTATAATTCCTCTTAGGATTCAGTTATGCACTGTAACTCTAATAACAGCCCGAGTGCACTTAAATCATAATTGGATATTCCAAAACCTTCCCAAATGTATTTCGCCAAGACAGCAAGACTGCTTGAGATAGAAATGTTGCAACACTGTCTACCTTAGTTCCCCAAAAATAGGTAAATATAGGTTAAGACATATATATATATATATATATATATATATATATATATAAAACATATACGTCTATGTTTACATAAACATAATTTTCCAATTAAGGTCTGTGTAGTGTATACCATTTAGGGCTGTAGTCTGAAAAATAACTTTTCATGCTGTACAATAATTGCTGTATTGCTGTATTGTTTTGGGAAATACTGCAGATGATCTTGTAATATATTTAGGCAATAGTAATTTATTTGTAATGTAATTAATTATGAGGATCACATAGCCTCATTGCTCCATAAATGAGCTTCTTCAATAGCAAGATTTGTTTTTTACAAATGTGTGTATCTATCATCTAGAATTACATATGCATATATAAAGGGATGTTCAATTATGGTGGATTTCTGGAGTAAGGTGTTGATTATATGATCCAACATTGTAATTTGGATAATTCGCCATAGAAACCAGAATATTGGTTATCAGTTATGTGGTTAATATCATGTGTGCATAATGGGAATATAAACAAATTCTGATCAGTACTGGACTATTCTTGTGCATCTACAGTAAATGCGGTCAGTGTCTCTACTGCTTAAACTAGCCTCACAGTTTGCTAGGCTGCTCTTAACTGTTTTAAGCTGGTCTCCCAGCCTGCCTAAGCTGTTGCTCAGAAGGTTTAGCTGTCAGGCCAGTCGGTTAACAGGCTGAGAAGCCAGCTAAGACCGGCAAACCAGCTTAGGCTGGTTTTAGCAGGGGGTGGTCATCTAAATCACAGACAAACCTATGAATCATTGCAGTGTGTCTAATTAAACATATTCATCCAGCTTCAGTGTGTTATTCAAATACAAAACAACTTGAAGCGTCCATGAAGTCAGTCAGCTCAGCATCCACAGACAGTATAACTACAATAAGCAAAGAGTAGGTTACGCAAGCTTACCTGCAAGCACCAAGTGTCCCCAAAGCGCACAGAAATCATTTGCTAAATGACTATGTTTACATGACACCGGCAGGACTAATAAAACGTCTCGTTGCCAGGGTCAGTGGTGTCTCTCAGCAGCCATTCATTACAGGTACTGCAATGATCCTGGTGTTCCTCCCGCCCGCTGCGCCAGATCTGCCGCGCCGGACTCGAATATATCCGCCCGTATGCGCCTTCAGGACAAACGGGAAACATACAGCAGCGTGTCTCAAAGAAATGAACGGAGGCAAAGCGGAGAGGACTCCCTTATGGCGTTATTTGCAAAGAGCTTCCCATTGAAACGGTCCAAAGATGCTAAGGTCAGCAAAATCTGACGCCCCCTGTGTCCTCAATTCAGAGATCTGCAAAGAAACAGGGGAGCTGTTTGCGTTGGGCGTCGCCTCAAAGATGCTCACATTACACAAGATAGTAACATTTAACGCAAGAGACTGAGGAGGAGAATTGCCTGAATACGTGTGGCCGCTCGAGTTTGGTGGCCAAAATGATGCTCTGAGGAGTGGCAACATCTTGTTGTTGAGCAAACGCGCTCATCTTACGGGCAGAAATCCATAGAGCATCACGTTTCAGATGTCCCCAGTCATAATTTTGCTGTTTGTTTTGTTTTGTTTTTTCGTTGCGCAAAATCAGCGTTCCTTATCCAATTGTCCAAAAGGTATTATTATTATTTTATTACAGGACACATATTCAGATTCCAGACTCATGCACCCATGAAAAACACATCACACCGGCTGTGATCAGTGTTTTAACCCCTTCAAGCAAGCGCGAGGTGTCTGCAGCGACATGCTTCAGCAATAGGTTCCTCTCTCTAGGTGGATGATAAAAGCATGCCCATGCATTACTGTGCTAATGGCATTCACGCATTTCGTTTCACTCAAGACATTGATGCATCAAAGCATGCATAAAAAAATAAATAAAAAAAGTCAACCTTCCCGAGTTGTTTTCAAGATGCAAAATATCCATTACAATATGCACAGGGATTCCTCGTGCGCTTACTTGTGCTCTCCTCCTTCATTTTAGGGAGTGGCGCGGCGTGAGCGAGCCATTCCATTTCAAAGTCCAACTTTGCGTCTTTTACTCATAATTATTGTGTTAGAGCGAGCGGTGTAAGCTGCAGTTGGGCACTGCTGCGCATACAAAGGGACTACAGTGAGCTGTGCTGCTGCTGCTGCTGCTGCTGCTCACCACCACTCCTTACCGCTATACAGCGTGGGCAAATTAAAGGGGAAGCGCCTCCTCTGCGCTAATTCAGCTACTGCTGCTGCTGCTGGTACCTCACTGCATCTGGGATCAGTATGAGTATTATCAGAGTAAATCACATTTATTTCCATTTATTAAAATACGTATTTGTCGAAATATTTATTAAAATATCTATTTATTTATTAAGAATAGTATGTGCAATATTTTAAAACAAATAATATTGATGATAATAATAATAAACTTGAACAATAATAATATTGATTATTATTATTATATTTTTACGATAGGAAGTTGTCATGTTACACATTTTTATGTTGAATATAATTGTTAATCATAAATATCATATAATTATTTAGATATATGAATGTTACACATATGTATCATTAACATGTAAAGTAATAGTAGGCTATTCCTGTCCAAATGACCTTTTTATCATTTTATTTATAACTCGAATGATTTATAACACATTTTTAGTCATTATTCTAAAATAAAATAAATAAATGTAATAATGTTATTTATATTTTTATTTTATTTTTATTGATCATTTATAAAATATTTATTGATTACAAATATGTATTAAAATATTAATATATTTTAAAATAGATCATGCAATATTCTAAAACAATTATTATTATTATTATTAGGATTATTATTATTAATAATATTTTACAATATAAAGTTGCCATATTACAACTTTAATAACTTTGTATATTTAATATAATTGTTTATAATAAATATCAGATAATTATTTAATTATATAAGTGTTAAATTTATTATTAACATGTGCAAAATAGTATTCCAGTCCAATTGCCCTTTTATTATTTAATGTATTACTCTAAATTGTATTCATTATTCTAAAATAGTATAAATAAATAATATGTGAAAATAATTAAATGTCATATTAGAAAATTAATAATACAATTGATATGGGGGGGGGGGGGAGAATGCAAAGTAAATAATACTTAATGTGATTAATTATTTTATATTTAAATAAATATATTTATGACAATTAGTGTGTAAAGATTATGTATTATTATATAAATATTAAATTAATAATTTATTATTAAAATGTGATATTATTTGTATTTATTATTGGTGCTTAAACCAAGTGTAAGCTACATTTGGACGTGGATTTTTGAACTGTACCAGTAAAACCTTGAACATCCTGCATATGAACACATAGTAAACCAATTCAAAACAACTTAGAAATCATATAGCAGTGCACTGCCAACCAACCACAACGCATTAGCACTGAAACAGCAACTTTTACACAAGCATCAGAGCTCATATATTCTTTAGAAACAGGGAAAAAAAACTATTTATAGACATCTGTAATATATGTAATAAATATTTACTGAACATTACTATTTAATTACTTGTGATTATAAGTAGCACACCTTTGACAAAGAAAGCAGACACATACAGTAACACAGACCTAAGGCCTCTTAAATGTAAGTACAATTTAACTTTGATGTACTGGAGTTGAACTAATATACACATATTTCTCATCAGCTCTTAACATGTGAATAATGATGTCCTAAGCATAATTAACAGCACTTTTTTTCCTCATACTTGCCTGACTCCCTAATGAGTCCATATATCTCTGGATTTCGAGCCTTGGTGTAATACATGAAGAACAAAGACTGGGAAAACTTGCTGCCACTGAATAGAGGCCTGGCTGCTGCTAGACCCGAATATGTCTGTTCATTTCTAAAGGGAAATGAGGAATGGGTAACGTGAAGCTACAATGGGTACATTAGGGAGGTGCTGAAGTCTCTCGGGGAACCGTTGCTCTGTTTGTGCGCGCGAGAGAGGACGAACTGTACGTGCCTGCTGCGTGCACATGCTTTGAGAGCGACTGATCGCACACTGCCACTATATGTTTACTAAAGCAGCAAAATAAACACCATCTGATGAACTGAGCCAAATATGTAGCCTTATTGATAGCGCTGGACTGATGTGATGATTTGATGAAAGTGGGTATTATGGCTCGATGTTTGGATAAGGAGATGAGGAGATCAGGGTTTATGGTGACTGACTGATTTGTCATGAGGACAAGGTTGAAAGGTGAAACCACCTCCATTTAGACTGTTAAAGAGACAGTTCGTTAGCTCATTATGGTGTTCTGAAAGAGTACGCTTTTTTATTGTTTATTTAATTTTTAAATTTTAATTTT